CTCCGGTCCACTGTCCGAACTGATCAGTCATCTAATACGGGGATTGGACGCTGTGGTTGAGAGAGCCGCAGCGCGCGCTTCCCCACATACGTGTGAGGTGCCTGCTTTGTGCAAACCGGTGGCCAGTAACTGCACCTCTCCCATACTGTTGACATATGATTAATGGGGTTGGTCGGCTTCCTTTCAGATATTGTAAGAGTGGGTTCCTGGCAAATTTGTCAACACATAGGACTCGAGTTTTTCCTGTCACCTTCTGCGCACAGTTTCTGTTTTTTTCAACTGCCGAAATAACTGTGATACTTTTTACCAGACTTGCTCCCCCCCCCAAGATGTTTCTTTGATTTTCTATGAAGGGCGGTTTGGACAGGATATATCTTTTTTTAACTGCATCTCCTTGTAGTTCGTGAACCTGATCTGTGATCAGTTCCTGTCAAATCCAGCGGACCTTCCTCTGAAGTTTATCGAACAGTTGGTGGGTCTACTGGGTCTTGGCTCGATCCAAGCCTCCGTTGGCAATGGCGGAGCCTGCGACTCTTCTATCCTCTCGCTTTCCACGCCTCCCGAGGCTGAGTGCAGACTGCCCTCAGTCCACAGACCTCGTTCCTCCCTACATGGCGACGGTGCCAATGGAGTAGACCTGATCTCCAGAGGCCCCGATGTTGCGGTCCAGTTTGTGGGTCGTATGTGCGCGTCGGATGATCTCCGACCATTTTCGTGTCGAGAGACCTTCATGAAACTCTGCTTTGAGAGTCTCCTGCGTTTTGCTTTCTTCAATGGCGTCAGCCTACCTACGGAGAACAAAAAGCCCTTCGACAAGTTGCTGTGGGCCTCGCGCGAGGAGCCCTCGGCCCGTGTGAAGCTCTGCAGACTGGCCGTCCGCGACGTCATCCAACGCTGCACTTTCATCCTTCAGCAGTTCGGTCGGGCTGTCCAGTTTGCCGGAAAATGCCCGCTTCCTCGGTACTTCACTTTTTGGGTGTTGTTTGTTTGCAGCGCTGTTCGCACGGTTTCTTTTTCGC